GAATATTACTGCCTCAGCATTTGCCTAAGTGATCCAAGGAAACCACAGAAAAACTTGGACCAAGGCAGACGGACCCGGAATCGAACCGGCGTCCTCTCGAATGCTAACCAATGGTCTAGACCTCTAGGCCATGCCGCTCGGTATTGGTTTAGACGTATACGTACACGAACATAGATTTCGTTAAGCATCTTCAGTGTTCCCTAATATCTTAAGAAAGTCTTGCCTATTGTTATCACATTATTACAATAAGAACCTTGTTTTCCTTTTTTCTACCATACAGAGATATGCCCGAAGGTTTATAGGGACCAATAGAATTGAAGGCCGAACAGGTTATCCAAGTTAGGTATAAAAACAACTCTGAAATTGGAACACTTAATTTTTCACATTTCATTTCTTCCCCCTCTGAAAATATAATCAAATCAAAGCCAAATTGAGAATGACAATTACTATAGCGAATAACACTGACGTTTCGCCTTTGGTGTATTTCTTTTTCAGGATAGATTGCAACATAGTAATCCCTAATCTTCTTGTAATCCACCCTTAAGGAGTCTACACTAATGGCGAAGCGTCGTTATAATTTTCTATAATGAAATATATATTTAATGTTTTTATTTTTTTGTGAGCAACTAATCATATTTTAGGAACGTGAACGGGAGGAACTTGAAAGACAACTGGCAGAAGGGCTAGAAGAAGAGAGGAAATATATGAAAATGGTGGAAGAAGTTGTTTCAGGAAAAATACAATCACCACTCAAGCATCCCTTCCGGAGGATATTGGAACAATACGACTGCCGTTGCCAATCATCCACAACAAAATGATTGTCGAAATTTTTTTATATTGTTTACTTTGTGTGACTGTTTTTACACATTTACTTACGATTTACGCATACTGTACTTTTACCAATTTTTTCTATGCTATTTACAGAAAATAGTATTTAATAAAATATACAGCGCACGATTCTTTCTGAATTGCTCTCAACAACAGTTTGTTGAATTTTATTTGTGTTGGTTTTATTTTAATAAGAAAGACAAGAAAGTACGCAGTTGGTGAGATTACATCAATTTTTGGTCCCAGTCCTAAGACTGGTTGGACACGCATCTCCACCCTTTTCTATCCTGAGCTAATCTTCGCATTTCCCTAAAACTAGAACAACCCACATTCTTAACTATTTTCGAAAAGTAATCTAATCTAGGTCTACCTCTACTCCTCCTAACTCCTGTTTTTGCCTCTAATATGTCTCTGACTAGACCTTCATGCCTCTCCTATTTCTTGTTCACTTCCATAGAGCCCTCTGTTCTCCTATTCTTTCTAATACCTCTCCATTTCTAACTTTTTCTATCCATGTTATCCTCATCATTCGCCTATAACACCACATTTCAAAAGCTTCTAACCTTTTCTTTTCCGCCGCGTCCACTGTCCATGTTTCGCACCCGTACAACGCCGCGCTCTAAACATACACCTTTAACAACCTTTTTCGAATTTCTAAATTAACCGTTCGCGAGCATAGAAGTGACTTCCTTTTATTAAAGGCGACACGACCCTGCGTTATCCTCTGCTTTATATCCCTACTGCTCCTTCCGTCCTGACTTATCTGACTTCCTAGATATCTAAAATAAGCCACTTCTTCTAATTAGTGTTGCCCAAACGCAAGAACAAGACGAGACTTAGCCAGTCTTGGTCTTGGTCTTGCGCTAATACACCTGGTCTTGGTCTTGGTCTTGCGCTCCCAGTCTTGGTCTTGGTCTTGGTCTTGCAGCAAGAGTCTTGCAAGTCTTGCAATTACCTATTAGTCTATTACTATTTATTAAAGTTTACTTTAAATCCTAGAAAAACGTATTAGAATTGGAACATTGTGAGCTTGAATGAATATAGCCATAGTAAAGATCAAGCAGATTAATAAATAACTGAAGATTTGATAAGAAATTCGAAAAATCAACTGACCTATATGTCGTTTTCCATGGAAGTAACTGTTTCTTAATAAACATTTATGATCCTTGCTTTCTACCGCGCCGCCTCGCCACGTGCCGGCTCTATGATAAGGATGCCGCCGCAAATCAAACAATAATATAAAGCGTGTAAAAAAATTCGAAATTATTTTGCATGAGTATACCTACACCCTATGGCGGCAATCAAATAGTGTCAAATGTTATGATTTCGGCGTGGCGGCAACGATTGTTTTAGATTTCAAAAGAAGCCGCCGGCGCGTGTATCATAACCATGTACTTCCGAAAAGCGGCAAATTTCTTTGAGAAGTAAGTACAAAACCTTTGATGCCGCATTATCAAAGTGCCGATGGTTAAAACATAACTATGCATGCACTCAGTTTGATTTTAATAATTTTTTTATTCGCTATGTTTATGGTATTAGTCGTAATGCGCATAGGTCCAGTTTTTCATATTCTTTGATACAGTTTTTTGCGTCTCATAGAATTCCTAAGCGTACCTACCTATACACCGAACTGTTACACCTAACTACTCAGTGAAATAGCGCTAAGTCCTAGCTGCAAGACGCAAGAGTCTTGCAGGCTATGTCTTGTTCTTGCTCAAGTCTTGCACGGTCAGTCTTGGTCTTGGTCTTGCTAAAAATACGCGGTCTTGTTCTTGGTCTTGGTCTTGCAAAAACGCAAGAACAAGACCAAGACTGCAAGACCAAGACTGAATTTGGGCAACACTACTTCTAATTTTTCGTCTCCTATCTTTATATTCGCTCTTTCCTTACTTTTTCTTCCCTTGCATACCAGTATTTTAATTTTACTTTCAATTATTTTCATACAGAACTGATCTGTTAGTACCGCTTCTATTTTATTTAAAGCTACCTCTAGATCCTACTTGCTAGATGCTAATACTGCTAAATCATCTGCAAATCTAAATATACTAATTTTTTGCCCTGTATATCTATCCCTACAGTTGTACTGTCTTTAACGATGTTGACGGCGTCTTCGATGTATATATTAAAAATGTAGCGGTGACAGTGTGCATCCATGTCTGACTTCCTTTCTAATATTTACTTCTCTACGTTGCAACCCTAGCTCTATAACTGCCTGTTGTTTTTTTATACAAACTAAGGATCTAATGTATATGCGTAGCTTTTTGTAAAAAAAAATGTGGAATGAACCTTTTTAAGATGGTTGCAAGCATACCCCTCCCAAGTTGTCGAATATTAAAGCCAACTTAATTCTTACATTTAAGTAGTAAGATTAGGCAACTGATTATAAAACAAAAGAAATTTAACTATCTAGATGTACATACATGAGTGCAAAGAAAATATACCAAATGGTTTAATGAATCATTAAAAATAAAATAAATTCTGCTAATTGCAAAATATAAAAACGATTGCGCGCACATACGTGACTTTCTCTTAAATACGTTAGAATTCGTGAAGAGATTTTGGACGATACATTATACAATAGAGATATGATATTTTCTTGCAATGTAGTAGCGAAATGCTCAAGTTAAACGACTTTTCTTCTACGTACGAGATGTAAAAGGTTAAAAGACTTTCATAAAATAAGGAAAAGTGAAATGTATCTTAAACCTTAACTATAATTTGGCTAGAGATTGA